ATCTTAAAATTTTAATATGGTGTCAGAGTTCATTAGTTCTAGTGATCAATTAGATCACACTAAAGACTTAAACAAGTACACAAATTTCAAGTTTAGTGTACTCAATTGAATCATTTTCTTGTTGAGCATGTTAAGAGATGGAATCTCATATCGAATAAATATGAAATGACTATATAACATATAAGGGTTTTGACTACTTTTCTTAATAATCTTGACATATTAAGTGTGAACTTTAAATCTTAATAAACTTGTCGTGTAGATTTCTCATATTGAGAGATTATAAAACTTGAATTCAAAATCTTTATCTACTTTAGTATATGTCTCATCAAATCCTATGTTTTCTCCTATTATTATCAAGTTAAATGTCTTTCTTAAGTAATTGATTCTCTTTTCTTGACAACGCATTGACATTCTAACTCGAGAATGCATCCATTGTTTTCTTGAATCTTGTAGCCTGCTTTTACACATTCAAAATGGCTTCATTAATTATTATTTACAATATCTGGCAGTCGATAGGCATGACTAATGTCGTTGTGTATGACAATGATTACTAGAGTACCTAACTTATAGTATTACTACAACTTTATCCAAAAGCACTAGTGTGGTACACCCTATATCACTTTTAACTCGTCTAGTTTCATTCCGTTCACCTATATTTCAAACATGCTCCTGTATTATTCACCCCCACTACATGAGAATGCTCTAGCAACACGGGATCTCCAACTCTTATATCAATTAATGTAGGATATTACCACTACTTTCTTCAAAATCAATGACTCATATCAGTAATGCCATCCACCTTTTATCACTAAAATCCATTCTAAGAATCCACCATAAGTTTATTGGACTCATTTGTATAGAGTTAAGTTCTTGATACATTTACATTAGAAAAATCATTTACGATTGTTCAAATAGTTGATGTGGGATTAATGCGACTTCAAGAAAACCGTGTTTTGGCATGCATCCTGAGGTCAGCATGCATTAGTTAGGAATTAGGATAATCATTAGCGACTTCTATTGAGTTGGTTTAAATCCCAAATTAAATTAAACCCTACTAAAGATTTTGTCAAGTTGTTGCCATTGATTTAGGTTGACTATAAAATATATTGAAGAACATAGTTGGGATAAGAAATTATGTGATGGTTGGGCATGTGCTAACATGCTTATATAACATGCTAGTGAATATGGAAGATCTTCAAGAAACAAGTTGGGGCTTGTCATTGCTAATCATAAGCCAAACTTTTTTTTTAAAAACGAACTCGGTTGATATAATTTTATATTGTAATCATACAAAACATGTTTGGTGCATTATATAAGTATGTAATGAAAATTTGTTAGTTATCGTATTTAGTTATATCTAAATGAGAACGTCATCTTAAAAACTTGCATGTGTATGTTGATTCATTCTTGAAACGCATTGAAATAATCATATTTAGACAATCACTCGACATTTATTTTTTTATTTGATAGAAACCACACAAAACAGGATATTAATCAACTGTGTAATCATCAACTATATGTTCAATAATGAACAATAATTATTAAAAAAAA